ATGCGGAAAATAAAAAGTTGAAATTAATTTGGTTGCGGTGTTTGAATCGTATTTGTAGGTTTAAAGGGGGATACGATCGTTTTTTGGGTGAAAATTACTGTTTTTGTTTGTGACGCACAAATTGGTATTTTGTCCCTTGAGGAATAACGTTTTTCGACACATATTTTTTGAACAAGTACAAAATTCATGATCATTTTTATATTTATAGAATTATCGAATTTCAAATTTTTTGGCTTGTCATACGTCTTTAATTCGTCGTTTTATTTTCTAAGAGTAATTGTAGAGTTTTTGGATCACAAAGTACACCGAATTTGATGACAAAAGTGGTCAAAAAAGGTTCAAAATTTTGGTAAAACTGAAAAATTGAGCTTTTGAAAAAGTTACTTACAACTCCACGAAAATTGTGAGATTTAGATCTCAACGTGCTGATCAGCTTAGAGCAAGATTTTAGAAATCCAAAAAACCAGTTTTCTTCAATCCTAAAAATTGCCATAATTTCGATTCTGGAAAAATGGTAGACATTATTGGTGAGACGAAGGTCGAAATCTACAAGAAAATGTTTGCAGGACATTTTTGGAGGTGGTCAAAAAAAGTCGAAATTTTCATAGTATTCAAAAATTCAGCTTCTGAATAAGTTGTCTAAAAATTCACAAAACGTTCATAGATCTCGAGGTACTAATTCGAAAAATTTAGCATGCTAATGGCCCTTTTTTAAGTTTCAGTTTCAAAGTCAAATTTTCTAAAAAATCCTAAAAAATGCCGTTTTGCATTTGGTGATTCTCAAAAAATGGCAGGAGTTTTCGTAGAAATGAAACCGAAAAGTAGTTTTGGAGGTCCGAATCTGCAGATTTTTCTTTAGATAATTTTCGAAGGTGGCTGAAAAAAAGCTCAAAATTTTCATAAATCTGAAAAATTGAGCCTTTGGAAAAGTTGTCTAATAATCATCTGCAAGCAACTGCGGTATATAAACCTCTTCATGCTGAACTGCTGATTTTAAAAAATTGCGTATTTATGGTCCCTGAACAAAATGAAATAATTGATGTAAAAATCAATTTATTTATAAGCTTAAAAAATTGGCTTTTTATGAGCCAATTCTGGAAAAATAGTAGGGAGAATGAGGCCAAACCTAACTTTCGAATGTCCCAATCTACAAAGAAAGTCTCTGCCTCATTAAGTACTATTCAGAGGCGGTCGAAAAAAATGACAAAAATTTCTTATTGGAAATATGAGCTTTTGAAAAAATTGGCGAAAAAAAATTTGAGATATAAATTTTGATGTTCTGATTCAAAAAATGTGGAATGTCTATGCTAAGTGCAAGTTTTTAGAAATATTTGGATTTTTTTTATTAAACAAATTTTCTATTTCATGAGACAATAATTCGGGAAAAAATAAAATAACAATTTTCGTAGGCGGTCGAAAAGGGGTTAAAAATTGCATATTGAAAAATTGAGTTTTTGGAAAAACGAAAATCCAGAAAAGATTCTGGGATATATTTTCGAAAAATATAGCGTATTTATGGTCCCGAACGAAGATTTTAGAAATATTTGTTTTAATTTTTTTTGTTATTCAAAAAATTGTCCAATTTATGAGGCAATTCTTGAAAAGTAGTGGGAGTTTTCGAAGAAATGAGACCAAAACTAACTGCTGGGTATCGAAATCCAAAAAAAATAGATCTTCCAGTAATTTTTGAGACAAAGTCGAAAAAACGCCAAAAATTGGCTAAAATTCTAAAAACTTAATGTCTATAAAAAATAGCATATTTTATGAAGCAATTCTGAGAAAATGGTAGTTTTCGAAGAAGTGAGGCCAAAACTAACTCTGGGTATCTAAATCTATAAAAAAGTCTCTTTAAGTAATTTTCAGAGACGATCGAAAAAAGGTCAAAAATTCCGTAATGAAAAATTGAACTTCTAAAAAAATTGACAAAAAATCCGCAAACATTTTTGGAAACAGATCTCGCAATGTTGTTTCGAAATTATAGCATGTTTATGTTTGTCATTTTGTTTAAAAATAATGGTTTGTTTTAAATTTAAAAAAATGCCTATTTTATTAGACAATATTTTGGGATAATGGTTGGAATTGAGGAAATGAGGTCAAAACTAACTTTTAGTTGTCGAAATTTACAAAAAGTCTCTTCAAGTAATTTTCGGAAGCGGTCGAAAAGAGATCAAAAATCTAATTTCGAAAATTGCCCAAAAATCCATAAAAAAATCTGGGATAGAAATTCTGATAAGCTGATTCGAAAAATCTAGTGTGATTTATTCAAAAAATTGCCTATTTTGTGATTCTAATTCTGGAAAAATGGTAAAAGTTTTCGAATAAATGGGGCCAAAACCAACTCCTGAGTGTTGAAATTTACAATAAACTCTATTTAAGTAAATTTCGGAGACGGTCGAAAAAAGGTCAAAAATCTCATTTGGAAAAATTGACCATTTGAAAAAATTTCCCAAAATGTCCATGAAAAATTCTGGAATATAAATCTCGATATTCCGATTCGAAAAATTTGTTTTGAAATAATTAGCTAAAAATCATTTTTTTATAAAATTTAAAAAAATATCTATGTTATGAGCCAATTTTGAAAAAATGGTAGAAATTTTCGAAACTTTTGAGTACCGAAATCTACAAAAAAATCCCTTTTCGGAGGCAGTCGAAAGAAAGTCAAAAATGTTATAAATTGAAATTTTGAGTTTTTTAAAAAATTAACTAAACTGTCCTAAACATCTACTAAAAATTCTGGGATATAAATCTCGATGGGCTGGTTCGAAAAATACAACTTTAGAAATATTTTCTTTAAAATTTTGTATTTTTTGAGGTAATTCTGGAAAAATGATAATAGTTCTTGAAGAAATGGGGTCAAAAGCAACTCCTGAGTCTCGAAATTTACAAAAAACTCTATTTAAGTTATTTTCGGAGACGATAAAAAAAAGTCAAAAATCTCATTTCGAAAAATTGATCTTTTGAAAAAATTTCCCAAAATTCAATAAAAAATTCTGGGATATAAATATCGATATGCTGATTCGAAAAATAGAGCAAAAATAATTTTTTTATAAACTTAAAAAAATTTGTATTTTATTTTTATTCGGAAAAATGTTTGGAGTTTTCGATGAATGAGGCCAAAACAAACTTTCAGATGTCGAAATTTACAAAAAAGTCTCTTTAAGTGATTTTCAGAGATGATCGAAAAAAGATCAAAAATCGAATTTCGAAAAGTTGACCTTTTGAAAAAATTCGGATTTTTGGAATATTTTCTTTAAAGTATTTTTTTAATACAAAAAAAAATGCCTTTTTTGTGAGGTAATTCTGGAAAAATGATGATAGTTTTCGAGGAAATGTAGCCAAAACCAACTCCTGAGTGTCGAAATTTGCAAAAAAAACTCTATTTAAGTAATTTTCGGAGACAGTCGAAAAAAAGTCAAAAATCTCATTTGGAAAATTTAATATTTAAAAAAAAATCCCAAAAATCCATGAAAAATTGTGGGATATAAATATCGATATACTGGTTCGAAAAGTAGAGCAAGATTAAAAATAATTAGTTTAAAAATTATTTTTAAAAATAAAAAAATTCATATTGAAATTTTGAGTTTTTTAAAAAAATTACCTAGACATCCACAAAAAAATTTATTGTGGGATATAAATCTCAATAGGCTGATTCCAAAAATACATTGTGTTTATGACCCCGATGCAGGATTTTAGAAATATTCACTACAAAATTTTTATTTAACCAAAAAATTGACAATATTATGAGGAAATTTTGGAAAAATGGTAGGAGTCTTGGAAGAAATGAGGCTCTAGGTGTCGAAATTTACAAAAAATCTTTTTAAATAATTTTCGGAGGTGATGAAAAAAAGATCAAAAACCTAAATAGTTTAGAAAAATTGACCTTTTGAAAAAATTGCCCAAAAATATATAAAAAATTTTGGGATACAAATCACCGGTGGAAGATTTTATAAATGTGTTCTTTAATTTTTTTTTTATTCAAAAAATTGCCTATTTTCTGAGGTGTAATACCGGAAAAATGGTAAGATTTCTAGAACAAATGGGGCCAAAACTAACTCCTGAGTGTCGATAAAAGGTCAAAAATCACATTTCGAAAAATTGATCTTATGAAAAAATCTCCCAGAAAGGCATAAAAAATTCTGGAATGTAAATCTCGATATGCTGATTCGAAATCTAGAGCAATATTTTAGAAATAATTAGTTTAAAAATCGATTTTTTTATATAAAATTAAAAAAAAATGTATATTTTATGAGCCAATTATGAAAAAATGGTAGGAGTTTTCGAAGAATGAGGCCAAAACTAACTTCTGAGTCTCGAAATCTACAAAAAATTCCCTTTCAGTAATTTTCAGAGGCAATCAAAAGAAAGCCAAAATTTCATATTGAAAATTTGAGTTTAAAAAAAAATCCCTAAACATCCAGAAAAAATTCTGGGATATAAATAATCTCGACAGACTGATTTGAAAAACACAGATGCAAGATTTTAAAAATATTCAGTTTAATTTTTTTTTTTTTTTTTGATCCAAAAAACTTCCAATGTTATGCGGCAATTTGGAAAAATGGTAGGAGTTTTGGAACAAATGAGGGCATAATTAACTTCTGGGTATCGAAATCCACAAAAAAGTCGAAGTAATTTTCGAAAAAGTGAAAAATTGGGATTTTGGAAAAATTATTTGAAAATTCACAAAAAATCCTAGCATACATATCTCGTTAAATATTTTTTTAATCCTAAAAATTGACGTATTTCATTGTCCAATTTTGAAAAAATGGTAGAAGTTGTCCTAGAAATGGGACACAAAATAAGTTCTGGAGGTCGAAATCACAAAAAAAATCTTTTCAAGTAGTGTTTGAAAGTGGTCGAAATTTCCAGAGTATTATTGAAAAATTGAGCTTTTAAAAGTTTCCAAGAAATCTATAAAAAATTCTGGTATATTGAACTCGACGTGCTGATTCGAAAAATATACAATTTATAATTCCGGCCGCAGCAGAAATAAAAAACTCCACAATTTTAGGACAAGTTTAATAAAAACATGATACAAAAAGTCTCAAATACTCAAATAAACAAACACAGCATTGAGCTTCACATCGTTTACTCAGTCTTAAACATAACAAAACCAACAAAATTGGACCACCTAAAACATACTAGGTAATTTCAAGAACCCCCTCTTCACCGCGAACCCCACAACTAAGGACGTCGCGCTAACCACTAAAATAAAAATCGCCGCATACGACACCTCGTCGTCGTTCTGCCTCAACGTCGTCTCCACCGCTAAATACTTGACCTCCCTCTTCACGTCCGAAAAATATTTCGCATCTATCCGTTTCACGAACTCCGTGAGGTTGGGCCACATCGACAACAAAGACGGGATATCGTTAGCGGGAAAGGGTAACTTAACAAGGGGGGCGATGTGAGCGTACACCACCACATCCAGAATCTGGGGATTATCCCCATAAAAGAACTTGGATTTGCCTAAACGTGTGGATATCGTCGACAGACACTGCGTGGCGGTTTTCGTAATAAAGTCCTTGACGACGTCCAGGTCGGTGTCCACAGGGTACAACGTCTCCACTAGCTGCAGCGCTTCAGCCCGTTTGCGTTTCGTGTATGAATAATTAAACGGGAACGGCAGCGCTTTCATGAACCATCGGTTGGTGAATTCTTCGCTGTTTCGCTGATCCACCCAATACAGGAACTCGATCACGGGGAATAGTTTCATCGTAACTAAGTTAATTAGGGCCAGAGTCTCGCTGGCTTCCTTGGGGTTGAGACCCTCGTCGAGGTTACCGTGGGTTTTCTTCCACTGCATCATGATGTTGGGGAATTTCTCGACGGTGCTGTCTCCGCTTTGCCAGCTCGGGGCGTTGTACAAAGCACATGATTTTAGGTTGTTTTGGAACTTTATCTCCAGCGGAATTTGCTTTAGTCGGGCGTAAAAAATTGATTCGATGCATCCCACGTCGAAGGAGACGAGGCCGTAATCGCCGTCGATTATGTGGAGAGTTGAAGTTGTGGCCATTTGGTGGGTTTTGTTGACTCACTGTTAACATTAAACGCTTTTTTTCACACACATCACGCGAAATTTTTAGTGCGTTTTTTGAGGTTAAGCGGCAGGCTCAGAACTGTCGAATGTCATTGATTTGTGCGCAGTAGGGAGCGATTTTACCGACGTCAGCGGCGGCGCAGTGGCTGATTAGCCGGGGCATCCAGGATTATTTATTTATTTAAACAATTTTTGTCACTTACAGCCGCATTTATATTTAACACTATTATGATTAACGGTTCTAAATTTCATACTAAATCATTTATTAATGCAAAATGTATTTATTCACACATATAAGAGAAAAATATAAATGGTTCTAAAAATTATTATAGAAGTCATAGTGAAAATAAATAAATGTATCAAATTAATTGCTGATTTATGAACTATGCATATAGCGTTGAATAATGTATCCATTTGGAAACAATAGTAGAAATTAAACAAGTATTTATGAATTAAACTTTCCTAAGTTGATCAGCGATAACTTTGTAAAGATATTATTTCGGTTATCCTTTGGTGCACTGTGAGATTATTAGTTTTCTGTCTTACTTACAATTATTACATTTTCGTGGTTTGATTTCTTGTTCTCCTAAAATACAAAAAATTTTATTTGTTTCTTTGTTCCACTGTCTATTTGTTCACATTTTTATTCGATAGATAATGTCGAAAGATATCGAATCCGCTAATTTGAACTGTCAAGAACACCTTCATTTGATTTTTGAAATGGTACAACGCTAACGAAAATTTATCTGTTCACCCTCTTCAAGAAACTGGTGACATCAAAAGTTTAGGGCTCCGGCCATTATGACTAGAAGAATTTAAAACGATTTCGAGGACCCCAGGTTTTTTTTTTTTTTTTTTGGAGAATTTGAAGAAAGTTTTGGGATCCTGGTGTCTAGTTTTTGAAAAAAATACAAAGAATTTGGAGGCCCCTTGGTGTTTCGTTTTTTGCTATATTTCGTCTTGAAAAAATTTAAAATAACCTGGGAAATCTTCGTTGCTTTGATTTTAAAAAATTGCAAGGAATCTTGGGGACCTCCGGTTTTTTTTAGAACGATTCTAAAAACATTTTGGGAGACCTATGTTTTTTTGGTGGCATTTTAATAAATTGGGGGGTCTTGGGGTCCAATTTTTGAAAATACTAAGGAATCTTGTAATGTTTCGTTGTAGAATTAATTTGGAAGAATATTGGAGAATTCGGTATTCTGTTTTTGAAGTAATTTGAAATAATCTCGAGGTCTTTTTTGTAAACTCCCCTTCTATTTTCATTAAAGTAAATTCAAAGAATCTTAAGCCTGTAGCCTTTTATTTTTGAAAAAAATTGTATGAACCTTTGGAACTACCGTTGTTTTGATTTTAGGAAATTTGAAAGAATCTTGAGGGTTCTGATGTTTCGTTGTAATATTAATTTGAAAGAATCTCGTACCTGTTAAGATAAGACTGATTTTGGCACATGAGATACCCTCTAAGAAAAGAGAGGGTGGGTGGGCGGGGCTAGTACCTGCTAAGATAAGAGTGATTTTGGCAAATGAGATACCCTCTAATGAAAGACGGGTGGGCGGGGCTTGAAATGATCTTGGAAATATCCGTTGCTCTGGTTTTAGATAAAATTGAAAGTCTTGGGGTTCTCTATGTTTTTTAGAATGAATCTGAAAATATTTTGAGAAACCCAAATGGTTTCTAGTGGAATTTGAAAAAAAAATAGAAGCTGTGTTTTATCTTCTAAAATTTGAAAAAAAGGGATTACTAGTATTCAGTTTTTGAAAAAATTTAAAAGAATCTTGGTGATCCGTTGGAGAAATAATTTGGAAGAATCTTGGGGATTTTGGTGTTTTGTTTTTGAAAAACATTGAAATAAACCCGGAAAACTTGGTTTTCATTTTAGAAATAATTTGGAAGAATCTTGGGGATTTTGGTGTTTTGTTTTTGAAAAAATTTGAAATAAACCCGGAAAACTTGGTTTTCATTTTAGAAAAATTAAATTTTGAGGAACCTAGTTGATTTTTTTGGTAGAATTTGAAACAAATGGAGCTCTTGGTGCCCAGTTTTTGAAAAAAGTTGAAAAATCTCAAGGGCTTCTGCTGTTTCGTCGTAAAATGAATTTGAAAAAATCTCGAAGACTTCGATATTTCGTTTTTAAAAAACCTCAGAAACCTCCGTTGTTTTGGTTTTAGAAAAAATTGAAAATCCTGGGGTTCTATGTTTTTTTTTTTTAGGGTGAATCTGAAAATATTTTGAGAGACCCAAGTGGTCTCTAGTGGAATTTGACAAAAAAATAAAGAATTTCGGCGGGCCTTAGTATTCAATTCTAAAATAAATTTGGAAGAATCTAGGGGATTCTGGTAAATATTTTGTTTTCGAAAAAATTTAAAATAATCTTGGAAACCTTCGTTATTTTGCTATTAAAGAAATTCGAAGAAATCTTGGAGACCTCTAGTATGTTTAGAACGAATCTGAAAACATTTTGAGTGACACTAGTGTTTTTTTTTGTAAAATTAAAAAAAATAGAGTTCGTGGTGTTCAATTTATGAAAAAAGAAAAGAAAAAGAATCTTGGTGATTCGTTGGAGAAGTAATTTAAAAGAACCTCGAAGATTTCGGTATTTTGGTTTTAGAAAAAATTGAAAGTTTTGGGGTTCTCTATGTTTTTTTTTAGGATGCATCTGAAAATATGTTGAAAGACCCAAGTCGTTTCTAGTGGAATTTGAAAAAATAAAATAAAAATCGGGGCTCTGGTTCTAGTTTTTGAAAAAAAATTAGTTGTAAAATTAATTTGGAAGAATCTTGTGAATTCTGGCAAATATTTTGTTTTTGAAAAAAATTGAAATAAACCTGGAAAGCTTGGTGGTTTTCATTTTAGAAAAATTACATTTTGAGGAACCTAGTTGATTTTTTTTGGTAGAATTTGCAAAAAATTGGGGTCTTCGTGCCCAGTTTTTGAAAAAAGTGGAAAGAATCTCAAGGGCTTCTGTTTCGTCGTAAAATTATTTTGGAAGAATCTCAAAGACCTCGATATTTTGTTTTTGAAAAAATTTGAAGGACCTCGGAAACCTCCCTTGTTTTGGTTTTAGAAAAAATAGTCTTCGTTATTTTGATTTTAGAAAAATTTGAAGGAATTTTGGAGACTTCTGGTTTTTTAGAACAAATCTGAAAACATTTTGAGTGACCCTAGTGTTTTTTTTTTATAAAATTAAAAAAAGAAATGGAGTTCCTGGTGTTCAATTTTTGAAAAAAGAAAAGAAAAAGAATCTTCTTGGTGATTCGTTGGAAAATTAATTTGGAAGAATCCTGGTTCGTTTTTGAAAAAAATTTAGATAAACCCGGATAGCTTGATTGCTTTTATTTTAGAAAAATTACATTTTGAGGAACCTACGTGATTTTTTTTGTAGAATTTGAAAAAAAAATTAGAGTCTTGGTGTCCAGTTTTTGAAAATAGTTGAAAGAATCTCAATGACTTTTGTTGTTTCGTTGTAGAATTAATTTGAAGGAACCTCGAAGATTTCGGTATTTTGTTTTTGAAAAAATTTGAAATAACCTCAGAAACCTTAGTTGTTTCGGTTTTAGAAAAAATTGAGAGTCTTGGGGTTCTCAATGTTTTTTTTAGGATGCAGGTTCTAGTTTTTGAAAAAAAAATAGTTAGTTGTAAAATTAATTTGGAAGAATCTTGTGAACTCTGGCAAATATTTTGTTTTTGAAAAAAATTTAAATAATTTTGGAAACCTTCATTATGTTGATTTTAGAAATCTAGTTTTTGAATGACCGTAGTGTTTTTTTTGTAAAATTAAAAAAAATGGAATTCATGCTGTTCAGTTTTTTAAAGAAATTGAAATAATCTTGGTGATTGGTTGGAAAATTAATTTAGAAGAATTTTGGGGACTTTGGTATTTTGTTTTTGAAAAAATTGAAACAAACCTGGAAAACTTGGTTGTTTTCATTTTCGAAAAATTACATTTTGATGAACTTAGTTGATTTTTTTGGTAGAATTTGCAAAAAATGGGGGTCTTAGTGCCCAATTTTTGAAAAAAGTTTAAAGTAACTCATTGGCTTCTGTTGTTTCGTCGTAAAATTAATTTGAAAGAATCTCGAAGACTTCGATATTTCGTTTTTGAAAAAATTTGAAGGAACCTCGGAAACCTCTGTTGTTTTCGTTTTAGAAAAAATTATTATCTTAGGAACCTTCGTTATTTTGATTTTAGAAAATTTTGAAGGAATTTTGGAGACGTCTGGTTTGTTTAGAACGAATCTGAAAACCTAGTGCTTTCTTTTGTAAAATAAAAAAAAATGTAATTCCTGGTGTTCAGGTTTTGAAAAAAATTTTAAAAATCTTGGTGATTCGTTGGAGAATTAATTTAGAAAAATTTTGGGAACTTGCTTGTTTGTTTTCAATAAAAAAAAAAAATTGAAAGAATCTTGGGGGCTCTTTTTTTTTTAGAACGAATTTGAAAATATTTGCAAGGAACCAAGGGTTTTTGGTGGAATTTGAAAAAAGGAATTCGGTGGCTCTGGTGTATCGTTTTTGAAAAAAATTTTAAATGAATTTCGAGGGTCTTTGTGTTTTGTTGTACAACTAATTTGAAAAATCTTAGGGGGCTTTGGAATTTTGTTTTTGAAAAAAAATTAATCACCCTGGGAATCCCCGTTGTTTTGATTTTAGAAAAATTTAAAGAGTTAGAGGACTGTCTTTTTTAGAACGAATCCGAAAACATTTTGAAAGCTCTTAGTGTTTTTGGTAGAATTTGAAAAAAAAAAATGTGTCGTTTTTGAAAAAAAATTAAAAAATCTCGAAGGTCCTGGTGTTTTGTTGTACAACTAATGTGAAAAATCTTAGGGGACCTCGTTTTAGAAAAAAATTGAATCACCCTAAGAATCACCGCTGTTTTGATTTTAGAAAAATTTGAAGCGTTGTTGGGGGACTCTGTCTTTTTTATAATAATATTTGAAGATAAGACTAATTTTTGACATTTTCGACCATTTTTCAACTATATCCGAAAATTAGTTGAAGACATTTTCTGCAGATTTCGATATCCAGAAGTTATTTTCACCTTCGTTTCTTCGGAAATTTCTACCTTTTTTTCTAAAATCGCTGCTCGAAATACAGCA